AAAGGAGGCTAGGTCAGGGAACAGGTAGGGGAGAGTGAGGCGGCCTAGCGTGGCAGAAGCGGGTGAGGAGTAGCGGGCAACTACAGCGGTGTAGAGGTCCTTAGCAGTCTTGCACTGGCCGAAGTGCTCGCGCTCGTCTAGCGGCAGGGAGTTGCGAATAGCAAAGCGAGCATGCGCATCACGGGTCTGCCACTGGGAACGCAGAGTGCTGTCAGCAGTCGAGTCAGGGGCAGTGGCATGGCCTAGGGCGTGGTCGTACAGTGAGATATCTTCCTTGGCAGTGAGCTGTAGGAACAGGTGCAGGTCATCGAGCCAGGTTTCGAACTTCACTGGACGGCCCTCGGCATCGAAAGCTAGAACTGGCGGACTAGCCATAGTGACAGTAGCAGTAGGAGCAGTAGGAGTAGCAGTAGGATCAACAGGGCTGCTAGAACGGTCGACGCGGCTCGGTCGGGCGGCGCGGCTCGGTTCAGGTAGGGCGGCGCGGCTCGGTTCGGGCTGCGCGGCTGCGCGGAGCCGCTAAGAGGGGCGGGACGGGGTCGCGGGGGCCTCTAAGCGGGGCTCGACGGGGCCGTGGGGCCGCTAAGCGGGGCGCAGCGGGGTCGAGGGGCCAAGTGGTGGCAGGCGACGGGGCCGCGAGGCCTCTAAGCGGGGCTCGACGGGGCCGTGGGGCCGCTAAGCGGGGCGCAGCGGGGTCGAGGGGCCGTGTGGTGGCGGGCGACGGGGCCGCGGGGCCTCTAGACGGGGTGCGCGCGGGGTCGACGGGGCCGTAAGCGGGGCGCGCGCGGGTCGACGGGGCCTCCGTGTGGTGGCGGACGACGGGGCCGCGGGGCCTCTACACGGGGTGCGCGTGGGGTCGACGGGGCCGTAAGCGGGGCGCGCGTGAGTTCGACGGGGCCGCGGGGCCACTAGGCGAGGCGCGACGGGGCCGCGGGGCCTCTAAGCGGGGCGCGATCGACGGGGCCAGCGGGGCCGGGAAAAAAAAAAAAAAAGACAGCGCTCGAGGGCGCTAAGGGGGGAGGCGCTAAAGCGCACTCCGATAGTAGGGCGCACGAGGGCGCTAGTAGGTAGTAGGTAGTAGGTAGTGGTGGGCCCGAAGAGAAGTTAGGTCCTAGCGAAGGACCTGCTCTGAAACCATGTCAGAATGAACGGACTGGAATGATTGAACTAACAGAGAAATCAGTACAAATAGCAAACCCTAGAATTGTGTACCCCATATAGGCTAACCCACTGTAGCCTAACAAACCCAACATATATAATGTTTGACACCTGAGACTCCGAGGCTAACAGTATAGAGCTCGGATGCATTTCAGTATCAAAAACTGGCACTTAGTGACCCGAGATAAGGGCGGGATTGGCATTTGCAAAGTTTCTACTTTCCTGCATCTGGCGAGGGAATGCGTGATTCTACCCTCTCCGAATCCGAAACTACCTTCGTAAACTAAATTACCGCGGGAAATTACACCTGGGTGGTGAAGATACCACCGGTGAATTTACCGCGGACTAGGTGTACCTCGGCTGGGAGGTTCATTCGAGTTCCAGCTCAGGTGGCACTAAAACCACGCAAGCAACCTCATACGTGGTTCATGAATCGTCTGAGCTGGTCGCGTGGCGTTGTTGTACTGGAAGAAATTACAAATGGTTCCGCTATAAAGTCCCGCGCTCACAAAGTCCCATTTTCAGAATGAGGAGCTTTTTCCTTTAATTCCTAGGTGTGGCCCCTCCTCTACAGTCCCTTTTTTGACCAGGTTCATTGCACGTATAAGTGCCTTGAACATTTACGGGAAATGCTACAAAAGGCAGTTTTGTTTTGAAGTTAACATTTAGAAATGATATTTTTTTGTTTCTCTTGACCGCGCTTGTTTCTTATTCCCGTCGCGCGATTCCTAGCGCGCTCCACGATGACATCTCAGTAATCTCGCTGACAGGAAGGAAAAACAAAAAGACAAACTTATTATGGCATCAAATATAATTGATGTTGTTTAATTTCTGCCCGTTTTTCACGCATCACTGATAACGCGCAGAAATTAAACAACATCAATTATGGCCGATCGACAGTTTCCATATCTTACCAGTCCGTCATTCCACTTCCTTACCCCATCCACCCCGTTTCCTCCCCGTTGCGTCCTCTCACCTCGTCACCTTCGCACCATACTGTGTCACCACTTGGTCCGCGTTTCCACCTCCTCCCCGGTCCGCCACTCCGCCTCCTCCCCTAAACCGCCGTCCCACCTCGCCTTTCCGCCATCCCGTTTCCTCCGCGTTCTTCTCATCTTGTCGCCTCCCCGTTCCGCCATCCCACCTAGGCGCCTTGGCGCCTCACATCCCGTCGCGCTGGCGCCTCACATCCCGTCGTGCTGGCGCTGTTCCTCCTCTTCGCGTGTGCTCCAACCTATCTCCTGACCGATCCGCGTTTGTACCTCCTCGCCTTTCCTCCATCCCTTTTCCTCCCCGTTCCAGCCTCCCACCGCGTCGCCTGTGCGCCAATGAAGTTCCTCTCCTTTCCGCCGTTCACCCCACTCCTCATCGCGACATCAAAATACCGCCTCTATCATCCATCCCACGTTCATCGCACCCCATCCGCCCATCCTCCCTGTTCCACCCACCCAGCCATCCCACCTCATCGCGAAAAAGGCTAATCCAAATTTCAAGGCCCCGTAGGGTTTTCTACCAAAAAGCTCACAGAAAGTCACGCCGTCATACAAAAAGTCCCAGCCGGGAAGGTGCCGGAAATGTCACATTAACGTACACCGCAAACGTGACAAAAAAGTCACGCTGTTGTAACTTCCCAGTGACGAGAAGTTGTTAGTCGCAAATGCGTCCACAGAATCGGCCAAGAAGTAGATGGTCTGGTTTCGCACGAAAATTACGACAGTGGTTGAAAGCATTTGAAGGCGGTTTACCTGTGTACTGCTGAATGAGAAAAACAAACCAACTTGAATGCAGTGATCACGAGGCATGCGAATCAGCCCGAACACTAGCGAAAACATAACAGACGGGGAAACAGCTTCGTGAATGTCGTAAAAACAATAACGAAAAGGTTTTTCAGCTTCGATGCTACACGTCAGACTCGACAATGACGTGTGCAAACCAATCAAGGCTACTCTAGGGCAATGTATGTCGCATCAAGGTTTTGCGAAAGTTCCACGTCACACCTTTTGAACCCCCATCTTTCCCAACCTTTCTGAACCGTTAAAGCCAAGCCCCAAGAATCATTCGAGCCAATCGTTGGAGTGCACCTAAACAAGACTTACAGCTTCCCTTATCCTCCCACTATTCACACCGAACCGAACCGGGGACCACCCAAACCCCCATCAACCTTCACTTGCCATGCCATACAAATGCTCCCTGCATCTAACAGTTTGTTCAAACCTTGTTTGCTTGTCCTCCAATTTGTCACACCCATCTAGCACAATCAGCCAACTCTGCTCTACCTTCATGCTCTAGGCTTACACACTACAGCTTACCTCTCCATAGGCGGTGTGTTTATACCTATCGTTGTTCAACCCCCACCACGTGTTTTTTCATTAGAGAAGCTACTTGGAACCGAGTACCTCATTTTCTCTCTACTATCCCCCTCCGCCCCCCCACTTGCCAACATGCCACTCCCCTCTGGTGCCAAGGGTTCAGATCACAGTGCTTCAATGCCGCAAGCATAGCGATGTAAACCGCCACCCAGGCAACCGGTGGGGTCAACTGTAATGGTTAGTGCCCAGTGTGTTGCTTGGCTCAAACACGTTTTCTCCAACACGTGGCAGATGGCGCACGCGACTGCGTAGCCCTTTGTTTCCTATGGTCTCGATTCTCTCTCTTCTTCATATTGCTTCCGTTGATCTCTTCGTGGCAGTTCGCAAGGTGCAGTGCGACTGTATCCAGCACCACCAAGGAGCATGTCATGCTACTTTGTGCAGCATGTTTACTTTGTAATGGTGGCAGGTTGCGGCTGGCCGAATCGTGCGTTCCGCCGACCTGCATGTAAGATCATTGTTACCGTTCTAGCGCTGGCTACGATTATGGTTGCTGCAAATTCGATCCAAACAGAGCATCATGACGTTGGCTTGTATGTATGCATGTGGATCTGTCGTGCCCTCATCCCTGCTATTTGAGGGTTAAAACATTTTGAACCGTTGCACTAGCCCCTCGGACGCTCCGCCCCATGTTTCGTGAGACTCACGATCTATTGCTATGATTGTCTTGCGGGTTTGATCATTCACATCACTGGTGATATTCTGAAGTGCAGGTTCATCACGTTCCATTTTGTTTTGTTTTGTTTTGTTTTGTTTTTTTTGCAGGTTTGTAAGCTCCGAACGACCATACTGGCAAGATGTTTAGGTAGCCAGGCCACGGTGTTCCGGGCTACACGTTCGTACATTTGCGCAGTTGCTTTAGTTCGTACATCTGCACACCGGCTTTAGTTCGTACACCTGCGCAGTTCGTAAATCTGCCAGTGGCTTTAGTTCGTACATCTGCGCAGTGGCTTTAGATTGTACATCTGCGCAGTGGCTTTAGTTCGCACATCTTTCGGTAGCTTTAGTTCGTACATCTGTGTAGTAACTTCTATGTATGCACATGTGATGTGACTAAAGAAGCCCATTCAAAATGCCAGCTGCTGTGTTCTGAAATTTCGGCGTACGGAAATGGGAGATGCTGTGTCGCTCGATAATAATCGCCAGGCAATAATAAAACATTTCTGCACCAGCGTCCCCGACGTTTGATTGGTTCATATCCACCAATCAACGACAATGACACGTGGCAAAATATCTTGGCATACGTGACACGTGGCAAGGTTACATAAAAGTGACGAGAAAGTCGCTTCACCAGACACTCTACTGTGACATTCTGTGTGACATTATGTCACATTTACGTGACATTTCCGTGACAACGCAGGGAACATCGTGGCCGGTACTTTCAACCATGACTAAAAAATGCCAGACTTGCTGTCACGTAAAAGTCACAATTCGAACACATTTTTGTGACTTTCGGCACTTGCCATTTTCGCGATGCTCCTCCCCGTTCCGCCCTCCCACGACCATTCGTCTCATCTCCCCCAGCCATCCCACCTCCTCCCCCCCAGCCATCCCACCTCCTCCCCCCCAGCCATCCCACCTCCTCCCCATTCCGCCCTCCCACGGCATTCACCTCATCTCCCCCAGCCATCCCACCTCCTCCCCGTTCCCCCCTCCCACGGCCATTCGTCTCATCTCCCCCAGCCATCCCACCTCCTCCCCCCCCAGCCATCCCACCTCCTCCCCATTCCGCCCTCCCACGGCATTCACCTCATCTCCCCCAGCCATCCCTCCTCCTCTCCCCAGCCATCCCACCTCCTCCCCCCCAGCCATCCCACCTCCTCCCCATTCCGCCCTCCCACGCCATTCACCTCATCTCCCCCAGCCATCCCTCCTCCTCTCCCCAGCCATCCCACCTCCTCCCCCCCAGCCATCCCACCTCCTCCCCATTCCGCCCTCCCACGCCATTCACCTCATCTCCCCCAGCCATCCCACCTCCTCCCCATTCCGCCCTCCCACGCCATTCACCTCATCTCCCCCAGCCACCCCTCCTCCTCCCCATTCCGCCCTCCCACGCCATTCACCTCATCTCCCCCAGCCCTCCCACCTCCTCCCCATTCCGCCCTCCCACGCCATTCACCTCATCTCCCCCAGCCCTCCCACCTCCTCCCCATTCCGCCCTCCCACGCCATTCACCTCATCTCCCCCAGCCCTCCCACCTCCTCCCCATTCCGCCCTCCCACGCCGTTCACCTCATCCCACCTCCTCCCCATTCCGCCCTCCCACGGCCATTCACCTCATCTCCCCCAGCCACCCCTCCTCCTCCCCATTCCGCCCTCCCACGCCATTCACCTCATCTCCCCCAGCCCTCCCACCTCCTCCCCATTCCGCCCTCCCACGCCATTCACCTCATCTTCCCCAGCCCTCCCACCTCCTCCCCATTCCGCCCTCCCACGCCGTTCACCTCATCCCACCTCCTCCCCATTCCGCCCTCCCACGGCCATTCACCTCATCTCCCCCAGCCATCCCTCCTCCTCCCCATTCCGCCCTCCCACGGCCATTCACCTCATCTCCCCCAGCCATCCCTCCTCCTCCCCATGCCGCCCTCCCACAGCAATTCATTTCATCTCCCCTAGCCACCCCACCTCCTCCCCATTCCGCTCTCCCACCGCCATTCGTCTCATCTCCCACAGCCATCCCACCTCCTCCCCATTCCGCCCTCCCGGCATTCATCCCATCCTCCCTCCTCCCCATTCCCCCATCCCCCCACTCATCCCATCTTCCCCCAGCCCATCCCACCTCCTCATTCCGCCCTCCCCCCACCCATTCATCCCATCTTCCCCCACTCCACCCCACCTCCTCCGCATTCTGCCCTTCCCCATGTTGCGCGAACCCATTCCATTCATCCCATCTCCCCCAGTCCATACCGGCACCTCCAGACCTACCCTCACACCCTCCTCATCCCTCCCTCCCCTCAAACATTCCTCCTCCCACACTGCCCTTGCACCTGCCTCTTGGCCCGCCCCTTGAGACACTATTCCAGCCAATTATTCCACCCTAGTCCTCATGTTTAACTACAGCAGCATGACATCTGCATCCATGAGCTGATGGTTTTGATGTAGCAGTGCTTGTATGTAATCGTTGAAGGTCAATTGTAAAGCTTCGGTTCTTTATTCAACATATGCTGCGGAATATCGTGGTCAACTATCTAGCAATGGACGGTAGGAAACGGCTTAAAATAACATGTCCCGAGCCTGACTGCATTGTTGCATTCGCATCACAAGCTGAACGGACTAATCATGTTCGCGGAGTATGCCACTACCACCACACGCAACAATCCAGAGCCTGCAGCACCAATCCACACGCAGGTGGTCCTGCGTCCTGACGACGTGTAAAATAACATGTAACGTCGTCACAGGACGCAGCACCACCTGCGCCAATGTCACCCGTCGAAGAGCCCCACCTTGAACGCGCAAGTAGTGAAGCAGATCAATACACAGCCATAGATCGTCGCCTTTGGAAGTTTTGTAAAACAGGAAACGGTGGTAGCAGCCTCTCAAGAGAGTCGATCAAAGAGCTATTTGTTGGAAAAAATTGATTTAAAGCGCTTCTGTCGTGGCGAAACACCAAGTCACAAGCGAAGCAAAGCATATCGAAGCACCGGCGAGTCAACCCTCGGAGGTTGAAGTAACCGCTGGAGGTTACGCGAAAGTCAAAGGTCAGCGACCTTTGACCTGACTAGTACAGTGCGACAGCAAGGACACACAACTGACTCGTTACAGAGCAGTTGCCCGAGTCGTCACTGTATCGAACCGCAACAGCAACAATAAAACAGTTATAGCTGTATCCTTTCATATTCCTTGTACTCTTATAAAACCTTGTATCTCTTTGCTTTAATTAACTTACTTTGCCCTCACATACCAGCGCAAGGTGGTTCAACAATCCCCGCTAAGAAACGCTTCCGCTATTACATTGTTCCTACCAGAGTTTAGTCCTGCAAAGATCCTCTAAGGGTTTTTCTCAGCCCAACATGGTATGAGAGCTAGTCAGGGCAAAACTCAACTACAATCAATCTACTACAACAGCGCTAGACATGGCTACCCAGAAAGAAAGGAGCTCTTCTAACGGCTCCCACGGAACTACCCCTACACCACCGCCTGCCTCTGGCCTGCAAACGGAGGAGAACCCGGCAACAAGACCAGCAGCGGGGTCTACCGAAACTCCCGCGAACCAAGCTTCAGGCTTCGACCCAAGTATGATGGAGAAATTTTTCTCCTTTATGTCCTTCTACGAGCAGCACCAGCAAGCGGGACCTGCGCAATCAAACAACAACGCCACACCGATGAGTCTCGACGGTTCTTCCTACGCACGCGGAAATCAGCAACAACAGCCTACCTTTGCTCCGTATGAGCCCCAGCGTGGCTCCGTCAGCTTCATGCCGTATCAGCAACCTTGACCTGGACAAGAAAAAAACTTAGACGCACTTCAAGCTCAGTCGCAGTTCGCGCGCGTTTTGAAGTTACAAACATCAAGACCCTTCGACGGGAAAGACTTCTTCACCTGGTCATTCGAGTTTGAAGTGATGATGGAAGGCGTGCAGATTCTTGGTTTCTTCGACGGGTCCCTGCCATACCCAACAAACGGCACGCAGTACGACAAGCAGCAGTACACTTATCAGTCAATGATGGCATACACAATCCTGCTGAGAAACATCACTCCGAGTCAGCAGCAGAACATTCGATCTTACCGGGGATACGGCAACTCTGCCGAGCTCGCGTACAACCACCTGAAGAACCTGTATCAAGCAACGGACAGCGTCAATCAAAGTCGGTTGATGGCGCAATTGACAACAGTGGAAATGAAACCAGGCGAAAAAGGGATGGCGTATATCAGTCGCTGTCGCGAACTGCGCGACAAACTCCTTCGATGCGGAGGATCAATAGCCGAAGAAGCCTTCGTAACAGTCGTCATCGGTGGCCTCGGTCCTCAATGGCGCTCCACCCGAGCCATCCTCCGAGCTCACGGAAAAATCTCCGAAGCAGCACTCTGCGCCGAAATTCACGCCGAGCAGCAAGACATGGACCTGCAAGAAGAACGACTCAAGAAGAAGACGTCAGCACCGGAATTCGCCTTTCATACTCAACGGCGTTACAACAACAATCGACATCAACCAAAGCCTGTACCTCCGTTCTGTCATATATGCAAGACGTCAGGGCACCCCCGCACACACTGCCCCAACCGACAGCAGTCGACATCGACGCAGCGGCAACTTCGACCTTCGAGCAGTCAAGTCGCCTCAACACAAGCGAATCCCACCACTCAAGTACAAGTCTCAACGACATCGACAGGACAACCTGCACAAGGAGCAAGAAACATCGTCAGCTGCATGGCAAGATTGACCGACTCCTGCATCACCGAGTCACCACCACATTACTCACCGGAAGAACAACTCGACAACAGCACGCCCCGCCGCGAGTCACTTCAACCGAACCCGACATATGCAGCTATCGCCCAAAGTGAGCCGTCCAGAAAAGACACTTGGTTCTTGGACAGTTGCTGCGGGCAGCATATGTGCTCTTCAGGACGCTTCGTGCAGCGAGAGTACCAACTCCAACGCGAAGTAGTCATCACCGTCGCCAACAACCAAAACCTGCGCACACGACGACAAGGCGTGGTTCAACTTCAGTCACGGGAGACAAACGTCATACTGCAAATGACGAAGGTCTTAATAGCAGAAGGACTCGGCTACAACTTACTAAGCGTCAGTCAACTGATGGCGAAAGGGATCCACCTCGAGGCAGACAGCTCCACTCAAGAATTCAAACTGTACCACGGGAAGGGCGGACTTTACATCGGGAAGGCAGTATTGAAGAACAACGTCTTCGTCCTCGACTTCGTCCCAGATCTTGGCACCGCCGACAGCGACGGCATCGTCAGCTTTGCTCCTTGGACACACCCTCCAGATCTTGATCCAGACTTCAGCCCTGGTGGGTTCTGGCACTCTCACACGATACCTGAGGCAGAACGAACAAGAGCGTTAGCAACAATTCAACAATCAGCAGCAGCAGAGACAACATCGGCAGCAGCAGAGACAACATCGACAGCAGCAGAAACAACATCGGCAGCAGCAGAGACAACATCGACAGCAGCAGAAACAACATCGGCAGCAGCAGAGACAACATCGACAGCAGCAGAAACAACATCGACAGCAACAGCAAGAACAACACCGGCAACAGAAACAACAACGACGCCAATCGTTGGTCCTTCAACGACACCAATCCTTATCGACGATTCGCCACCAACACCCGCGCAGCAGCTAGCTCCAACTCAACGAGAAGTCCACCGAAGCGCCAACTTCACCACCGGCTTCTACTCCAACTCCGACATGTATCGGCGCTCACCCGGACATCGCGCCAGCGAAGACATCTGGCACGCACGGATGGGACACCCAAGCAACACAACGTTAAACAACACGATAAAAGCCGGAGTGCTCGACAAAGATTCACTACTACTGCACGACGGGAGAGAACTTCAACGAGTCAGAGGAACATGCTTCACCTGTCCTGAAGCCGACTTACCGCATCAACCATTCGTCCCTCACCACAACCCAAGTGCACCCGCTTACGCACCACTCGAAAAGGTGTACAGCGACATCCTGTACAATCGCGTACCAGGACAAGGAGCCTACAATTACACCATCACCTTCATCGACGCCGCCACACGATACGTCTGGCACCTGAATCTCCCGAGCCGCGACATGGCTTTCGAAGCCTTCGTTGCCTGGCTTCCAGCAGCAGAACGAGAATATGGGGTGAAACTAAAGAGCTCTCAGTCAGATGGAGGCAGAGAATACACCTCGCAACGCTTCAAGGACTACCTGGCAGAGAAGGGAATCAAGAGGCTCATCTCCCTTCCTTACGCCCATCAACAGCAGGGTGTAGCAGAAAGGATGAACAGGACTCTCCAGAACACCATGCGCAAGCTGCTACGTGGCATGCGGCTACCCAACCACCAGTGGCCCGAAGCAATGGACCATGCTGTGATGCTGCACAACTTGCTCTCGTCATCATCGCTCCCGAACAACACATCACCGCATCTGCTGTGGACAGGAAAACTGGGCAGCACAAAAATGTTGCGCGTCTTCGGCTGCATGGTACAGTACCGACCCCCAGCTGCACGAGCCGGCCGATTCTCCCAACGCGCACAGTGGGGACTACACCTGGGCATCGAAAAGAATTACAACGCATGGAAGATTTTCGACGTTCACACAAAGGAAACAGTGGCAGCACGTGATGTCATTTTCTACGAACGACTCACCCTCGACTCCTACCAAGCCAACTTGGCAGAACAGCGAGACCTCACCAGTGGATTTCGTGGAGACCGAGCCTTCGCTTCGGCAGCCGACGAATCTGACTTGGACGAGGAAAATGTGGATGGAGCCTCGAAAGAAGCCGAACCACTCCCATACTGCTAAATGGACATACCGATGGATAACGACAATCCTCGCGAAAGCGTCAACGCCGAAGTCTTGTACGGCCTCGCCGACGAAGGTTACGTTACACCTGCACAAGTCAACACCGACGAAGCAGAACGCATAGGACCAAACTTCATACCCGATCCAGAAACGGGAGACGAAGCAGTCTATCCCGAGGACACAACACTCCCCCGCTACACACAGAGTGGACTCCAGATACTCGGCCTCGTCACCGCGGTTCACGGCACGGCGATTGCTAAAGAGCCTGCCACAATTCAGCAGGCTCTGGGGGGGGAGCATAGGGAAAAATGGCGCGAAGCCATGGACAGGGAACTGAAAGCATTGGAGGAGCGCAACACTTGGAAAATTGTTCCCATCAGCACGGCACAAAACAAAACAATACTCACCGGGAAATGGGTCTTCCGTGTGAAGACAAAGGCAGACGGCACCATCGACAAATTTAAGGCGCGCTGGGTCGTACGCGGCTTCGACCAAGAACACGGACGCGACTTCACCGAAACATTCGCTCCGGTCAGCCGACACACGTCATTACGAATTCTCCTCGCGATCGCCGCCATGAAGAAGAAGAAGCTGCGGCAAATTGACGTCGCAAACGCAATTCTCTACACACCTGTCGACGCACAAATCTTCGTCGAGTTGCCGCATGGCTCCAACACGGACTCCATCCACGTCTGTCAACTACTCAAGTCCTTATACGGCATTAAGCAAGCCCCGCGGTTATGGCAACAATACCTGTACGCTCGCCTCATCCGCATCGGTTTCAAGCAGCTACCGCACGATCAGGGCATGTACCGGCTCACGAAAGGCACCGATTACATTCTGCTAATCGTCTACGTAGACGACCTTCTCTATATCGGCTCTACCGTCACGCAGTATCTCGGGCTCAACATCCAGGAAGAAGAGGACGCAATCTTCCTCTGCGCCGCAAAATACGCTGACACCATCGCCAAACGATTCGCACTTACACCAACTACCATCTCCACACCATACCGCTACACGGCAGGAAATCACAAGGAAGGCTCCGCCCTACTCAAAGCCGCCGGCATACACGATTACCAGAGGAAACTAGGATGTCTCCTCTTCGCAGCTGTTACCTGCCGTACGGATCTATCGTACTCCGCAAGTCAGCTCGCCACCTACCTCAAGAAACCTGAAGCGGAACATCTGGCGGAACTCGACCGCGCTCTTCACTACCTCGTCAGCACTCCGACAATCGGTCTGACCTACTTTAAGAACCGAACGACAACACCCAAGCTAATCGGCTACGTCGACGCCGATCACGCCGGCGACTCCGACAACAGGCGCTCACGCACCGGCTACGTTTACCGCCTCGAACCTATCGGACCCATCTCCTGGCAGTCGAGCAAGCAGGAGCTAATCGCCCTCTCCTCAGCTGAAGCAGAATATATCGCACTCTGCTCAGCCACCAAGGAAGGATTGTACCTTCACGAACTTCTGGAGCTGGCTCAGTTACCCAGCTTCACCCTGTTCTGCGACAATCAATCAGCAATTCGCATAGCCAACAAGAACGGCTTCGCGAACAGAACGAAGCACATCGCCCTGCGATACTTCTTCGTGAAGGACGAGATCGAGAAGGGGAGACTCGAGCTATCCTACTGCCCCACGTCCGAGATGGCAGCTGACTACTTGACCAAAAAGCTCGGAAAGCAGAAATCCGAGTACTGCATGATGCTGACTGGACAAGACCACGTCATCAACAGTGACACTCCAGAAGCGAAGGGGAGTGTTGGAAACAATTGATTTAAAGCGCTTCTGTCGTGGCGAAACACCAAGTCACAAGCGAAGCAAAGCATATCGAAGCACCGGCGAGTCAACCCTCGGAGGTTGAAGTAACCGCTGGAGGTTACGCGAAAGTCAAAGGTCAGCGACCTTTGACCTGACTAGTACAGTGCGACAGCAAGGACACACAACTGACTCGTTACAGAGCAGTTGCCCGAGTCGTCACTGTATCGAACCGCAACAGCAACAATAAAACAGTTATAGCTGTATCCTTTCATATTCCTTGTACTCTTATATAATCTTGTATCTCTTTGCTTTAATTAACTTACTTTGCCCTCACATACCAGCGCAAGGTGGTTCAACAATCCCCACTAAGAAACGCTTCCGCTATTACATTGTTCCTACCAGAGTTTAGTCCTGCAAAGATCCTCTAAGGGCTTTTCTCAGCCCAACACTATTGACCCTATTTCATGACGCAGGAGCGAATCTCGCACTAATGACCTTCGCAGATGTTGACAAGCTTGAGGCATCCCTTACGCAACGGGTGGTGCTACAACCGTTTCAAAGGCTTGTCCTCACAGACCCAAGCAAGGACAAGACAGAGGTTTTTCTATGGTGGCGTTCAACGTGGGCTTGCGTGGTGGACATGTATACCGATCCTGCCAATGCGGACGAATTCATAATTGCACCTGATACAGAAGATTCGAATGAGACCGCATCGGATGAGACACCGCATCGATATACAGATCCATCAACTGGGACGTTCTGGAGAGAAGCAGTTGAAGATCTCCCTGGGGCGTCTATTATTGCTGTCATACTGTACTCAGACGAAACTGAGCTTGCAAAGGACGGCGGAGCTTCGGGACATCCTGTATATGTCGCCCTCGGGAATACGTTTTCTAAAAACAGGTGGAAGCCCAGTGGCAGGCGGATGGCGGCCATGTTGCCTCCGTTGAAAAAGCACCAAGTTCAACCAGGAGTGGACCCCACACGGCGCCGGCTTGAAATCATACACGAGTGTCTCTCAATTATACTGGCAGAACAGAAGGAGAAGGAGGACACGGGTGCTTTTCTGAAGGATCCATACGGTATCCTGCGTTTCGTTCGAGCCCTTCTTTATGCCTATATGGGGGACTATCTAGAGCAATGCAAGATTGCTGGAACAAAGGCGGGTCATCAAACCCAGTTCCCATGCCCGAGATGCCAAGTAACGAAGGAGAACATGTCAAACGTGGAAGCTGAACGATGCTATCGTACAGAGCAAGGACAGGTCCTGACCAAATCGATTGTGGACATGCATCGAAGCTCGAACCGTGCACTTGCATCCGCGGAAACGACAGAGAGTACACACGCCATCAATGTAAGCACCAGTTTCCTTCCAATTTTGGAAGAACTATTCATGACCCAAATTGTTCTTTGACTTCGATTGCTATGTCATGGTTTCTTTCATTCTCACTAATCCTCTCTCATACGCACACACTTGGTCTTATTTGTAGGTGGCAATATGGGGGTTTCCAAATGGGAATACGTCGTGGGGAAATCCTTACCGCGCATTCATGGGAGACATCATGCATCTATCACTCCTTGGAGTGTTCAAGCATGTCATCGATTGCCTGCGCTCGATGCTACCTAGACTCCTCGATCGGCTGGATGATGCGATGCGCGGGATCACGGACTATAGTTGCCAATCCATGTTCCGCCTTCCCTCCTATGCGAAGCGATACTTCGTGAACAAAGGGACATTCCAAGCCTTTGAACACACTGCGGTTATGCAAGTGCTGCCAGTGATTCTGGAGCTGCTTGATGTCAAGACGGACATTACACAAACAGTCACGCTATACGTCTACTGGCACTGCGAGGTGTGGCTACGGCCATATCATACAGAAGAGAGCCTTGCACACCTCGACCAACTTACAAAAACGTGAGTACATCTTGTATTCTTTGACAAATAACAGTTATGAATCACATTGTAGCTTTTATAACAATTGACCCCATAACACGTACACAAATTTACACTCTCACTCCCACTCTCTCTTCATCTATCTCTCAATGTCTCTCTCTCTCTCTCTCTCTCTCTCTCTCTCTCTCTCTCATGCGGATGTGGTACAGGCTTGTACCGAAGATGATGACAGTGTTCGGGGAGAAACAATCGTCGACGTTCAACATTCCGAAGGTCCATGCGATGCTGCACGTCGTTGACGACATCCGTCGCAGAGGACTCCCTGCTCGGTATTGTGCGGATATGTACGAGCATCTCCACATCGCGCTAATGAAGCGGCCGTACCGTGAGAGTAACAAGAAACACGCGGAGGAGCAGATCGCGCGACGAACGCTTGTCGACGAGCTGGTCAACAGACTAGCGCAGCAGGAGGCAGACGCGGAAGATGCTGATGCAAGGAACGGAGCAATGAGACAGGTATTTGTGCTTACAATCAACCATTTTTAACGCAAATCTCCTAAGCTCGTGTTCCTCTGTGTGTTTGGTTGCGGGTGTATGAGCCTGTACGGGTACGACTATGTCTACGCGTTAATGTACGTACATGTGCATGCACGATGTCGTTCGTGCGACCAGACGTGCGTGCGTGTGCGAGTGTGTGTGTGTGTGCATGTATGTGTGTGTATGTGTATGTGTATGTATGTGTGTGTGTGTATGTGTATGTGTGTGTATGTGTGTGTGTGTGTGTGTATGCGCACGTGCGGACCATT